ATTCTGTTTTATTTCTTGGGCAGAGGACAGGCCAGAAGTGTCACCAATGGGCAAATGAATCAAGACCTCACACACATGGAGCACTTTGTATGTCTCATGTATACCTAGTGTGTCATGAATACTTAGTGCCTTGGTTGCCTTTTGTATTTTTAGTGCCTCATCAAATACTAGGCAGAGTCACATACATACACTCTATTTACTATGTCTAATGAATCTCATAAGTTACCAACTTATGTAAGTTTAACACAATGAATTTAATCTAATTGGTTTTCTCCTATGACAGAATAGAATATTCCCCCAAATCTAACAATGAGATCAGCCCTAGGGAATATATCTCCTGCTGAACTCAGTTCCTTCTTGCCACAAGACTCTGTTTTCATGAATTAAACTATTCTCTGCTTCATTGGTAAAAGAGAAATTTTCAGGGATGTAGGCTTAAGAATTCCTGCAGGACTGCATGTTCGGTGTTGTGATTCTTGGTCCGTGGTCTAATGCCTTAATATTTCTTCCTTCCCTTTCCCTTTCCCATCCCAGGAATCAGCTGAGAACTCAAAGTTAGATTGCCATTCCTCTAGCCCGCACTGTGACTTGTTGGTTACACTCCCAGATGCCTCAGTTCCACAGTCAGCGGTTGACTCCTCAAGTTTTTCCTGGCATATCTTTTGGGAACTTTCTTTTGGAGCCTTCTCATTTGCCACTAATTCTTTGCTTCTTGAGCCCTAGAATTTTTCCTCCAACTAATTATTTCAGAAAGATCTCGAGTTGTTGCCATTACTTCTTGTTCAGTTTAATCCAAGAACAAAAATCTCTAAAAAACAACCTCTCATGCCTTGTAGGCCTAATTATCACATATGTATATGTGTGTATGTATATATGCTTGTACACATACATATACATACAGACATATCTTCTCTACTACTATAAAAGCTTAGGACTGTTTGAGATTTAGATCTGTGGACATTTTAGTGATCTGCCATAATGTCTTGGGGACGGGCTTTGTCCTGCTTGAAAATGGTGCTGGAGAAGGATCCACAGTATGAATTGACCCAATTGGTTTTATTCAACATGAAGGAAATTTCAGGATTACAACACCCACAAACCCTCCCCTGATGAAAGGGGCAAACAGAAGCAAAATTGTCTATATGTAACAAATACTTGGAGAGAATTCGGTTAGACAGAAACAGTATGTTCAAGATAGTACAATGAAGGTTGTTCTCTTCTTGTAATAAACATGGACTGACTCCCTTTAAGTAATGCTGAGTTGTTCTTTATCACAAAATTTGGCCTCAATTATGTCAAGTTTCAAGGCAGCGTGCTAGGCCAAAGTATTGAGATGATGGGACTGACTGATACAGCTATACAAATAAGCAGTGTGCTAACAAGCAGCATAGCATTGTTGACCTGCTGTCATGCACACATGCTAATTTTATTTTATATGAATATATGAGATCTTAGGTTTTACATGAAATCAAGTGAAAAAAAAAAGACTTGAAGTAAAAAATTTCCTGTTTCCTTTATCTGTAACTTCTGATAACATGGTATTTGTTTTGTTTTGATTTAAATATTTGTGTGGGGGTTGGGTAGGAAGGTGTTGGGTTTCAGAATGGGTAAAGGAAGAGAGGGACAGGAGGTATAACAGATGTGCAGTATCACTTTTGCTACCAACAGGAAAACAACAGCTTATAAAAAGCTAGTCAAATGTCTGATGACTCGAGGTTGCAGTGAATTACTCCTTAGAGGTCACATAGTTTCTCCTTCAGAAATGGAGGAAAAACTATTAGCAGACTTTTAATGGAAGATCAAAAGTGCTTACTTAATTTGATGATATTATAGCTCCAAAATAGTGCTACTGTTTCTAAAGTGAAAATACCAATATTCTGTTACCCCCTACTGTCCATTCTTATTATTTTCTCAACTTTTTTTTTTAAAGAAATTTAACACTTACTGTTTTGAGCATAAAAGTAATGCATGTTCATGGTAGAAAGTTTTAAAATAGAGTATAGATGAGAAAAACAACCTTAGTAACATTTTTAAAAATATAAGACAATTTATATTTTGAATTTAGGAGAAAACTGAAGTGAAACTGAAGAAATTGTCATTCCGCAAGTTTTCTTCATAATAAGAGCTCTTTGTTTTTAAGAGATTTCTCTAAAATGAAAAGAAAAAGTAGATGTTAAGAGGCTGAGAGTTACTGTTTTACTACTCATTTCTTATTTGGCATGGTTTAAATTTCTAGTTAGTAAAATTGAGAGGAATTTAGACAAAAATGAGATACATCTACACACCCACTATAAAAGCTAGAATTGAAACTGACAAATAAATGATAAAGATATGGAGCAATTGAGATCCTCGTACATTGCTGGTGGAAATGTAAAGTAGTACACTTGTTCTGGAAAATCTGACTTTTAGAATTCTCTGTATATTCTGGAAATATATATGTATTTTGTGTGTGTGTGTGTGTTTACACATAATTTAAAAAATTTTAAATTAATTACTTTTCCTGCCCCAGTCAACAACAGGGAAACGTTACAGCCATGAAGCTCAGGCAGGAGGCTGACCTGCAGGGGAAGGAGGAGTCTGCGGAGGAGTCTTACTTGATTTTGTTTGTGGAGCACAGGTTGTTGTGGCCATACTTCTTGAGGCAGATACAGCGTGGGGCTGTCGGTGAGCATGACACTTTGGGTAGATCATCTTGTAGTTGTATTTCTAGGTGAGCTGGCTGAGGGAAGTCTTGATGATGCCACCCCGCAGGCAAAGCACCAAGTGCAGGTGGACTTGTGGAAAATGGGCCAGAGAGTTGGGGAGAGGCAGCCCCAGCACTTCAGTTGCAGGGCAGGGCCCTCTCCTTATCAGATATATGATTTGCAGGTATATTCTTTCATTCTGTGGGTTATTTACTCTGTTGATAGTCTTTTGATGCACAAAAGTTTTAATTTTCATAAAGTTGTCAATTTTTTTCTTATGTTGCCTGTCCCTTTGGTGTCATATCCAGGAAATCACTGCCAAATCCAATGTCATGAAGCTTTTGATTTATGTTTTCTTCTAAGAATATTTTATTTTTAGCTCTTACATTTAGGTCTTTAATTAACTTTGAGCTAATTTTTAAAATATGGTATTTAGCCCCAACTTCATTCTTTTGCATGTAGATATAGTTTTCCCAGCACCATTTATCGAAAATACTGCCCTTATGCCAATACCACACTGTTTTGATTTCTGTAGCTTTAGTAAGTTTTGAATCAGGAAGTGTGAGTCCTCCAACTTTGTTCTTTTTCAAGATTACTTTGGCTATTTGGGATCCCTTGTAATTCCTACGACTTTTAGGAAGTTTTTTTTTTTAGGGAGAATTTTTATATTTCTGTAAAAACATCATTGAGATTTTGATAGGGATTTCACTGAATTTGTTGATTGCTTTAGCATAACATGGGATGTCTGTGGCTTTAATTTCTTTCATCAGTGTTTTGTAGTTTTCATTATACAAGCCTTTCACCTCCTTGGTTAAGTTATTTCCTAAGTATTTTATTCTTTTTGATGCTATTTTAAATGGAATTGTTTTTTATCTCTCTGGATTGTTCATTTTACATAATTTCTACTTGAATTAAACATATTGTACTTAATAAATTAACCGCATGGGTTTCCCTTTGGTATAAAGGGCCAGGGAAGTAAACTAACATTGTCACCCACTGACTATCAACACAAAATACTATTCAGTTGATCCTTACACTATTCTAGAGGTTCGAAAAGGTTGAGAAGTTTGCAGTCTAGAATCTTGGAGTTAATGGTAGTTTGAAATAAGACTCAGGACCACAGGACAACTAAGCTCACGAGATTTCGACACAAAGTGTCTCAGTGTAACCTACAGCCTACTGAAGCCAGCCTCTAGGGAGTGGACGCAGGAATCGGAAAAGAGCTACAATAAATCCAGGGGGCATTTAGCCGTTCATAAAGCAAACCAAGGCCTTTCCGCTTCCCGGAGTCAGCCGCCGCACCCCCGCCATTCGTGTAACAAAGGGCAAGCTCCTTGCAACATCCGACCGCGGACCTGGTAACCAGTGTGGGAGTATCGATCTACTGCTTTTCTGGAAACGAGCCAGGCGAGACCAGCAGTAACGAGAACTCCATTTCACAAGGATCTGTCTGCCCAAGCTTTCCGTGAGCGCCGGAGTTCTCCGCCGGCACTGTCGCTGACCTCGCGAGACGACGGGTCCTCAGAAAACACAAACTTCCCCCTTTGCTAGCGCCGAGGTTTTGCCGTCAAGTTAAATTCCGGAGTGCGGAAGTGGCTTTGTGGTCCCGCCTCTAATCGCTCAGAGATCAACCCCGTTTCTACACGGAAAGCAAGGCCTCCGAACGCTATGGAGGGGCAGCAAGGACAAGAAAGCCACGCAACCCTA